CAATCATTTGTACTATGTAATGTTAATAGCAGATGAGTAGTGTTGCTTTATAATCTTTTTAATGTTTGTCCATAGTATGATCAGTTAATTTATTATAACATGATCTCCATGATATTATAGAGTATTTCAGCATTTAATAATTGCAGTAAGTGATACTCATTATAGTTTCAACATTGCCTGCATAGATTACATTACTACTAGGCCAATGATCATAATCACTAAGATGACAATCATATAATGTCTAGGTTGTATGTAGTACAGTAGATTGTGTGTCTGTAGCATATTGATTTGCATTTAGGATACTCAGACAGGTGAGTCAAGTTCTGCATCATAGTATGCTGTGTGTGTGCATGTGATGCATAGAACTGCATAGAGCATAGACATAGTAGAGTGTAGATAAAGTGTAGGCAGGGAGCTCAAGGCTCATAAGAGAGGTTATGTGAGAGGCTTAAAGGGATCACACAAAGAGGGGGGGACAGTGGACTCAGCTTGCTCTCTCATGGCTTGCTTCATTGTCTGTTGATTAGTTAGTCTATATATACTATGTAGGTATGTCTCAGATGTAGAATGTATGATGGAAGGTATTCCATCATTGTTCGTCATTGCTTGTAATGTAGTTTATATCATCTGAGACATACTCTCGTGTAGTCTCGTCTTAACAGTAGCCAAGAGTCTGGTTCGTCATTGAAGAGGAAAGTACAAGGAAGTACGAGAGAAGCTAAAGAAACACTGCGGACAAGTTGCCTTCTTATAAGGATTATGAACCTGACAGGTAATACAGATTGCGGTTATGTTTCGTCCGACATGTTAGACGAGAGCATTGCGTCCGAAATTTCTTCTGTGAGATCAACTATCCGAGTCACGACACAATTAAGAACTGCCCAGATAATTTGTCAAGGAAGTAGATGGACGTGTTTGTTTCATTGTAGTGAATCCGAGAAGGCAATCACATACGCGAACTGCACGGTGGTGATTAGTTGTGGGTCCATCACCAGTGACTGCAACCTCCCTAGAGTGCCAATTCATTAGTCTGATTTATTATATGGAATGAATCGTACTGCACATCAAGTGCCGAGGATGCATCAGATAACCTCTAGCAGCATCAACATCAAGTTATGTATATTGCCGCAGTTCGTAGATTCGTTATCAGCCTTTCTTCAGGATCAAAAGACGCGTCGAGATCTTAATTGAGCTGCATAATATATTGTCTATGTGACACCATACACCATACATGCCATGTCAATACGCGACGTTTCGTGTCTCGGGGAATACAAAGCATGGTGAAGAATACGCTGTTGTCCTACTCAATCATCCCACCACTAGACAACCAAGCTTCTTTGCAACCCTGCCGCTTCAATTGTCTGCATATCCTCACCCAGGATATGGGTCGGCCGCATGGTCTGAATCGTATACGAACGTGTCAGGTTCTCGTGTCGTGCACTGTGTAACACAAATAGTCGATCAGATACATAAATTAAAGCTCTTGAGACGTGCGGAGATGGACATACGCGTTGATACTACTCTGGATGTCCCCTGCAGCACTCGTGAGGGTCATTCTCATTCGTATCCTAATACGTCATTTAGTAAAGCAAAAACATTGTGAGCTGGGCCAGACGCACCTTGTGCCATATGCAAGCTGAATCGCAACGTTCATGATTTCCTGTGTCTCATACATTTCATATTTTGTTTGTAGGCTTTCTCGATCTTCACGAGGTGCTGCTGGCTCAGATGCAGGAACCGATGCCGTAGCGGAGACCGAAACACTCTCAGAGCTCGACCCTTGAGTAGGGAATGTAGGTGTGGGAGCATCGAGTCGATTCCCGTCGCCTCCGAATGCCTGACAAGGGCTTGGTTGAGGTGATATGCAATCTTCATGCAAGCGACGACCCACGCAGAGCTCGACCGGCTGGCCATGACAGGTATTCAAGAGATAGGCTGGCGCATATCTGTGAGCACCAGACGATGGCACGGATGATCTCTTCATTTACAGGATCGTTGGAGTCTACGAGCGGTTGGTTCTCGATATTGAACCCATCACGTGAAACGTGATGTGGAGCGTTGTCCTCTCTTCCCTCAGAAGCGGCAGTCGCATTGGGTACCGACTGGCTTTCGAATTCATTGTTACGAGGTGTACAACCACAGTAACTGAACGCAGTACATGGTGCAGACACTGTAGACACACCAGATGGGAGACGAGCAATGACACAAAGTATGTGAGGAATACGCCGGGCAGATAAGAGGATGAAGACTAACTCGGCGGTCTTCTGAGGGGGCTTCTGACTAGTAATGCATCTGGGCCGTCACCTCTGCGGTTCGGATTTTGCACACAGAAAGTCCAACAGTGCAAGGTCATGTAAGCAAGGACGTTCATGAATGAAGGTACAAGAGTCAGACAGAGCTTCTCTCGTCACAGGTGAACCAAGTCTAGCTCTCCCTTCCAGACTGTCGGAATGTTCCGGTCTTCTACTCGATGAACCAAGATCACTGACCGAGCGTTGCAAATCGAGGACTGCTGCCAGAACGAGAACGACGAACGTGGAGGCGTGTCACACAGCGTCACATCGTGGGTCATCCCCAGCACCCGATGTTCGGTCTTTCTTATTATTTAATCCTATTGCACATTTCTTCAATCCTAATTTTCGAGACAGAAACAAACTTTCTTGATTCTTTGGCTTTCACAGCCCTTTCTCAGCAATTGTTTTTTGCCTTACAAGATCCATTGAATAAGTCCTTGCGTTTCCGAGAATATTAATATTCACTTTATTATACACCAAACACATTATCGTGTATATGATTTTGTCTACTAGGGCCTAACCCAAGCTTTCTAGTGTAAGAGATATCATTAGCACTCGACATGGTAGCTAATTAGGATGACAGGAAAACAATGACCATGCAACAAGACTACAGAATAAATAAGAAGCTCAATACGTGGAAACGCAAGCAATAAGAACAGACGACACAGCATGTAATCCGAAAATAAAATTTCTGCATGCCATTCATCCCCCGAGCAGAAGACGAACAAGACCTGTCAAGCACTGCTCGTTCCTTCTTCGTTCTCGCCTGCGGCTGCTGGAGAGCCTGAAACTAATCAGCAGGGTTTAGAACAGAAAGGTAGAAGCAAGCCTACATCACGAAAAAGTCGCAACACTTGTATTAGATTATAACCAGGTATATTTTATACTTTTTGTAAATTTTGTTAAAGCGATTATATTCTTCATAGGGGTTTTCACAAGTTAATTATAATTTAATACAAGTGTCACGCTCACGCAACATGTACGTTCCGATACGTTCTGATCAGAAGGGCTCAGTCACATCAAAGTCACATCATCCTCACGTCAGCAATCCTTCGATTACGTCATCATTGCCCACACAATAGTCTTGGTTGCTCAACTCAGACTAGTTGGGTTCTGGACTCCAGTTCTGATTCACAAAGGCAAGACTCTGAGCCTTTGGACGGCTGGTTGATTGATACAAAGGGGACTCAGATCTGGAGTCCTGGATGGGTTGATACAAAGGAGACAGTAGTGGATTTGTTCACAAAGGACTAGTAGCTACAAAGGACTCATAATTTCTATAAATACCCTCATGTAATTTGTACTTTCTAGTAATCAAGTTACTCTCTACTGCAACTCTTAGTGTGTAGTTTGACAGTCTCCTCAATTAACATTCCATCTTACCTTGTCTTGTCTCATATTGCCTTGTTCTGAAGTGTGGCTTTGTTGTTCCACACTACTCTTGTCTTGTTAATTGTCACCTTCAGAACTTGTACATTCTGCTTGGATCTACCTATTCCTTCTCACTCTTGACTCCTCTCAGTGTCTGTACCTTACAGACTCAACTGACCTCTTCTACCTCAACTGGTACTTGAGATTGACATTTTGGAGCCCACTGTGAGGAGGGTTTCTTAAGGTGTCTCGAGTAGGCTGAGCAGCCAACAGGTGGCAGTACTACTGAGAGTGTACCAACTTGATCACAGAAGAATCAGATTCTGGACCTGAATTAGATCTGGTCAACTGTGACCTCTTACAACCTGTATCCTACACACCCAGTCCTGTTTCTGAAGGAGTTTCTATACAACCTCTTAAGCAATCTGGCTCAGCTTCACTATCCATGTTTCATAGTTTGTTCCCTAGTTTGTTTCCATCAACCTCTATACACAACTCTACTTGTTCTGTGTCTCCCATTCTGTCTGTTCAAGAAGACAACCACACAATCACTCTAGTGTTTTCACCACTTCTGATTGTTCTGAAAGTTCTGAGTACACAGATCAATCTAATAAATTCCCAGTCTCAACAGATGAGCTCACAGAATAATCTAAGCAGCTTGCCCACTATAGCTAGTACTCTGAGTGGCCAGCCAGTCACAACCAACATTCCAAATGCTCTACCAGTTACAATCCAAGGACAGACTGGCCTGCCCCTGTGCTGAACAAGCTGTGATACTCCCTGTTATGACAGAACCAATGTGTAGGACCTGCCTTAGTTCCTTGAAGAAGTAGAAATGATTAGAGATGAGTTCCAACTTTCTAATCAACAGCTTATCTGGAGAGTAAAATATTATACTAACCAATCTGATTCTGAGATCTGGGCCTTAATACCTGAAGCTGTAGACAGTGCCTCAGATTGGCAAGCTGCTCAAGTAGCAATTCTCAGATTATACCTGTCCCTCAACCACAATCACTACTATACAAAGAATGATCTCTGTATCCTAGTCCAACAATAGGCTGTCACTAGAATCCAGAACCAAGAGGAGTTTGTAGAGTACTAGCACAAATTCCAGAAGATAGCAAGCTTTCTGGTCTCAAAGAAAGAAATCACAGAAGAAGATTGGAACAAAGTATTCCTCAACAGTATTACAGGTGCCTTCAAAGATCAGCTAACTCTCTGTTTGCTAGCCTGCAACTCTAACCATAACAGTTGTATAGCTTACACATACACTAAAGTTGTCAAGGCTGCCAAGCTTATATAGGGAGGTATGGCTTTGCAACACTCAGGAAAGACAGCCAATACAACTAGAACAACAAGTTCCAGAACTGTTCTAATAAAGAAAGAAGACACAAACATGGCCACCATCCTTGATTCACTCTACTCATTCTAAAGCAAGTTAGACTTGTTTGAATGCAAGACCAGTTCCCTGTTTGTAGGAAACACAGGTATGTAATCTGTACAATCTGCACAATCTACTCATTCTGTAGGGCTGCCCCACAACACAAACTGCTCCTTCTGTAGAGAAGACAGACACTTCATTCACTTGTGTCTGAAGGTTAATGAGTTCATTCACAACAGAAAGTGCATCTGGAACACATCTGGAAAGGTTGTTCTCCCTGACAGATTGTTTGTTCTGTCAACAATCTAAGGCTGACTACTCATGGATTGTTTTGACTAGTATCATACAACCAACCCTAGAAAGCATGCCCAAGTCTCCTAAGACATACAGGACACACTACTACATATAGTGTCCCTCCTCAAAATTGTAAAGCCAGCACTAGTATCCTAGACATTGTTTGCTGTTCCAGCTGTATATATTGAAGAAGTCTTGGAAGTAGAATACAAGGTCAAAAGACTCAAAGTCTTACTCAGAGAGGTGAAGAAGAAAGTTGCTACTAGTAAGAAGTTCAAGTTTGACAGAGTAGAGGTTCTAAGGTGTAGAACAACAAGTGTTCCAAAGAAGAAGGACAAGGAACCTAAGCTAGAACTAAAGCCTACACTACCTGCCAAAGTAAGTCAGGCCCTAAAGCATGACAGATTGAAGCATGCTGACAAGCCTACTGCTAGACTACTACCAGAACCACATCAGTACTGTAATCTCTCTCCCATTAAAGACCCTGTCATTGTCTAGCAGATAGTCTCTCACATTCTAGACTCTAGCATCAGCCTCACCCTAAAGGAGCTGTTGTTGATTACACCTGATGTCTGAAAGCAAGTCAAGGAACTGTCATCTGCTAGGCAAGTTCCAAACACTACCACACACCTTGTCTCAACAGAACCCTCAGAACTAATGACTTCCAAAGATGTAATCATAGCTTAAGTCTTACAGCATGTATGAAGCCTAGAGTCAGTTGCAGAACAGGCTATACTATTATGTACAGTTAAAGCCATCTTCAAAGATACTGAAGAAATCTACTGTATTCTAGACCAAGGAGTAACACTCTGTATCATTTGTAAGAATGTATGGAAACGTCTTAGAATCCATCTATGTTCTAATCTCACAATTATGCTTAAAACTACCAACTCTGGACAAGTACTAACACTCAGTACTGTTGAGAACATAAAGATCAATATTGCTAGAGTCAACATTGCCCTCCAAGCTCAAGTTGTTTGTCAAGCCCTGTTCAAGGCACTCCTAGGCTGACCATTCTTTACTATCACAGAATGTGAAACAAAGGACTTCATTAATGGCAACCAGTCCATAACACTATTAGATCCCTCAGATTGTTAACAGAAGTGCTGAGTTATGACCAGAACACAAACTGTTCTGTAGAAACACAACAAACAAGGATTCACAGTAATCACTAATCTCTCAACTCCTATATTAGTCAATCAGCCCCTTAGTGTTCAGGACAAATAGTGTTCTGATTTGAGTTCTGATACTACTAAAGCTGCAATTCCTGACACACACACACTATCCTATAATAGACACACACTAGTCTCCACCATAGTCAATCTGCTCCTCAGTTGTCTAGTCACCCTGTCAGCCACCCCAGGATTAGACCCCTTCATTCTATACACACCTGACAGCCCTGGAGAAAATGTATTTACATACAAGAAGGTAGTAAAGAAGGTTAGACCAGTTACTGGAACTCTCCTAGAAGAGTTTCAGATCATTCAACAGAAGCATCCTAATCTGTTGAAGGACATGCTAGAACTACTACTACACCCCAAGCTGTTTGTCCCAACACACTGTTTCATACAAGAATGTATGGAAGCTCTTGACATTGATTCATACAACTTCCTCTGACCAGAAGAGTGCCAGCTTTTGATCAACCTGATTTTGATGTATGAGAATGCCTTTACCTAGAACAAGCTTGAGAAAGGTGCTCTAGACCTGGAATACTTTGATCTGATTTTGATTCTGACTGTTCTGCATATTCCATAGGTACAAAGGAACATCCAGATTCTACAGGGAAACCTCAACACAGTTGTGAAAATTCTCAAAGACAAAATTGCCACTAGAGTTTACAAGCTGTCAAACTCATCTTACTGTTCCTAATGGTTTACTGTAGTAAAGAAAGACAGAAAGTCTCTATGCCTGGTCCACAACCTCTAGGAACTCAACCAAGTTTTGATCCAAGACTCATCTGTACCTCTAATGATTGAACAGGTTGTTGAATCCTTCTCCAGAAGGGCCATTTACTCTGTACTAGATCTCTTTGTTGCCTTCAACCAACACTCTCTCAATGAACACTCTTACAATCTTACAATGTTTTAGACACTACTCAGAACGTTCTGACTTACTGTTATTCTGATGAGTTATACTAATTCTTT